CAAAGGATTATGTCGGGTCTAGCTGTTTAGCGCGGGAGGAGGGGGAGGGGAGGCATTTCGCACGTTCAGTATTTCCTTTTGTTAGTTCAGGTAGAGGGACAAGTCTGATTTCACTTAAAAACCTGTGAAGCTGCGAAATGGTGCGAGTGAGTCATTTTGGTCACAGGAATTCACAGTTTCTCACAAGGTGGCCAGTAGAAGTTGAGCTAAGTATTATTCGGTGACCTCATCAATCCGGGAGACGGGCAAGAGAATCGTAATTTGCCGCTCCGCCGCGCGCGGCGATGGGCGCGGCGTTTTCTTAACTCGTGTTAACCTGTCGACTGGAGCACCGGACTTCATGTAGACCCCGTTAACATTTATGGATAGTTTCAGTTCTCAATTGTTTGTTGTCGCCATCTACTACCTGAAACCATCGTCATTTGCGGGCGCGACGTCGCACGCCCCCAGCGCGGCGAATCACGATTCTCTTGTCACATACACCTGTGTTAGTTCACTTTCGTCGCATCAATGAAATCTCCGCCCTTTGGCAACTAGCCTCTACTTTTTTTGTTGATTTTTCTGCCTTATTGATAAGAATGTTCTAAACGCAGAATATCGTGCAGATTACGGTCGCCATCGTGCACGATATTTCTGACCGCAAAATGTTCGGAATTATCAACAAAGAAATCGCTCTTCTCGTAGCTCTAGACTGTTCAGGCAATGGCGCCTCCAAGCGGCCCATCGTCAAGCACACCTCCAGCTCCACCTCCACTTCCACCTAGACCAGCTGAAATGAATCCTGGTCCAGGAATGATGCCTACTTACGGAATGTATGGAAACACAATGGGATATAATGGTGCCGGATATGGAATGAACAGCTATGGAGTTGGAATGTACGTTTGATTCCAGTTCTCAGATTATCAATTGTTCCAGAATTTCGGAGGAATGAGCAGGAGGCAGAGTGTTCCGCTTTGATTAAAGGCCCGATTTCTCTTGGTGGGGGCAACAAGTGGTACTCAGCGATGACTGTACAGGCATTCGTACGGTCTCGCCAAAGTGATAAACTGTTGTTAGCTATGACAGCTACTAGAAGAAAGACCCAGCGAAAGTGCAAGATGCTCCCTGAGCCGAATAGTGCCATTAAGTCAACGGAAATCGAGCAAGTAATTGACGAAAATCTTCTTCTCATGGATAAAATCAGAAATGGATTACATATGTATGGAATTAGTTGACTCCGTCCAAGCGGAGAATCATGGGGAATGCACCTCAAAGCAGTGTATCTTTATGCGTATTCCGTTCTCCGCAGGGTATGAATACCCCATAGGATAGGCCGCAATCATTAGGCATATGGCACTTCTGAAGCTTCTGTTCAAAACCGCGGAAGTTTCTACTCATATTTTTGTGTGATTTGCAGAGCCTGCGAGCTCAAACTGGCTCCCCAAATATTGCTTGTGACATCTACGTTTCCTCGCACCTATCTGACTCAACGTTTTCCCATTTCCTCAGTGAGCCTTTCCATTCCACTATGCCACGACTGCGAAAGTCACTCGAAATCCCCTTGGAACTTTTTGCTGCTGCAAGTCAAGGAGCTTGCAGAAACCTAGACCTCAAAAGTGTTCTCGGCTGAACGCTTCTCGGAGCGATTTCATGCAGAAGTTTCTTGCTGTTATGGGATTTATATGGTGCTAGTCTCGGGCTCTACTCCCTGGAGGTAGAGATGCTGGGCGGAAAAGACCTCGTATCTGAGCGCGCCTGCTATATATCATATAAAGCTAAGCCTAATGTATCTACAGGTAACCAGTACTAATCAGTCAGATAATCAATCAGATACCCTTACAATAAATACGGGTCACAGGCTGGAAGACTAGATCGGTAGATTCCGGCAACATTTCGAATACTCGCTAACTTTCAGTGGTGTCCCCTTTTCTTTTCCTCTTCTAGGTGGGCACAGGGCAAACAATTTCGCGCTATTCGGCTTAGAGTGAGGGGAGTTCACAGGTCTCCACAAGTTACATCTGCAATGATTGTTGTGAACCAAAAAATGCCCCTCCAAGCAGAGGTGCTCCGAAACCTCCCCGCAGGACGACACCCCCTCTCACCTTGGATCCTTTCCCCACCGCTATCTCCACCTCAGTCAGTTTGGGGCAGTCAATTTTTTTGGGGAATGAGCAGCACTTCATAGAGGGACTATAGTACCGACTGGGTGTGCTCTCGGAGTTTCATTCTTGCCAAATACGGCACCTCTCCCTGCCCCCTTCCCCCCTCTTCAATAATCCCAACAATGACACGCTGTGGGAGTAAGTCACACGTACTTTCAATGGTTCAAAGATGTAGAAGGCTCCAGATTGCTAGCTGTCCTTTCTAATCACGGCATTTGTGTAAAATAAATTCTTTTAATAACATATCCTACTTGGGGATCGCGGGGCTGTCGTATTTGATGTAACTGAAATCCGGTAGTATACTTTTAATGCTACCCCCCCCCCTCACCTTCCGCTCGACGACTTTTTTCTTCTGGAGAAATTTGGAGAACAAGTGGTGGAAATTCTGCAAAAACTTGGGAAAAGTGCTAGGATGCAGGGAAAGTAGGAATATGGTAGGTCTGATGGGGGTGCGGGAAATCAGTCATACCACAGGAGGAAATTTGAGGAGCGGGGTCATATTCTGCAAAAATTTTCCCCAGCGGCAGGACGTGCCCTCTGTTACATTATCATTTACCATTCTATATCTCATGCCACAAACCCTGCTCCAGGTATGGTGGAATGTACGGTAACGGAATGATGGGCGGATATGGAGGCCAATATGGACATGGGAATGCGGAAAGCAATTTTGCCAGATTGGCTGAAGGTACGTTGCATCATCAGGTAATCTATGATTCTAAAGAGCCTCCCTTCTATCTATCATTCACATCGGGCATTTTTCAATTGTCTTCAGAATCGTCTAGAGGAGCGTTTCAATCAATTGAAGCTATTGTGAATGCTGTGACATCTGTGGCCAATATGCTTAGTTCTACACATAATGCTGTATATAGTTCATTTCGTGCTGTGATTGGAGTCGTGGAACAGTTGTCCAGACTCAAAGTACAGGTGACTCTTCATAGTATGCAAGATAGTTCAGGGAATCAACCTTTGAAGGGGGCAGTCCACGCTGATTATATGGGCGGAAAGAGTGAACGGTTATGTTTCCTTCGTTAGCGCAACGCTGCTCAGCTTAGAGGGGCATTTTGTACTTTTGCTAGTCTTTGTTGCAAGATCCTGTCAACTTGGTGAGATCTGTAGACTACTGCTAAGTATAAGCGAAGCTCATTCTGTTCGGGGCACTTCCCGTCAGGGGAAATTTTGCAAAATACTGCTCCCTCTCGGGGTTCCGTCCTCCGGTACGACCCGCTCCCTCATCGCACCCTCCAGGTTCCGGAACTTTCCAGGCTCCCTACCACTCCGGAGTTTTTCTTAGAAATTTCTCCACTCTTTTCGCAAGAAAAGCTGCTGTCGAAGGACAGGGGAAGGTTTACAGCAAACTTAAAAGAGGAAAAACCGAGAAAAGTGAAGAAAAGTCAACAATGGATAACCTTTTTATCAGAGGCAAATATCAGAGGCAATAGGCTAATCCCTTCATCCAGCGGCCGATTACGACTATAAGACTCCCCTTCCCCCTCGCCCAACGTCGCTGGTGCCCCCAAAGTCGCCAGCGACGTGGACGGGGGAGGGTTTTCCCTTCAGAAACGAAATACTCCTGAACGCCCTCGTGTGTAAGGTGTACGAAAGCTCCCACTGAAAAGCGTCGGCAGTCCATCGATGGAAACTAGCAAAGTGCCCCCACTAACCGGCGCGACCCTCCCATGCCGGCGAGGATGAGTGTCGCGCTAATGAGGAAGGCACAATAGTTGACCGTCTCCGCCCATGAGGTGAGCGAAAGAGATGTGCTGTAAACGCAAGGTATGGTATACTTTGAAAGTAGGGGGTGCGATGAAAGGGTTCAGAAGTAAAAAGGTTTACTGTTTTTCTGGTGAATAGTTGGTCTTCAAAGGAGTTCATCGCGGCTTTCGGGCTATAGGTCAGGAGATCCACGCCAAGCAGCTCAGCAGAGGTGGCCTCATGAGCGTCTCATGAGGCGTAGAAAAGGCTGCACGTCCTGCGGCTAAGATATGCCATCACTTCGTCGCAGCACGCTTCGCGTCGCGTTGCCGCTTGCGCGTCACCACGTTGACGTCCTGATCAAACCTCCAGATTTCCTGAGCGTATGACTCAACTTACCTCTACCTGTCTCCCAAGGATGTAGTGGATTTGATACAATTTATTTGTTTTGATGTTCTACGGGACATTTCAGCCTTTCTGGTATTGAGGGGATCGAGCCGCTCGAAGCATCGAGTTGAAAGTTCCCTGAAGCGTCCTATTCTGAGTTATTACTGTTGTATTTCAGCTCACCCATGTTATCCTGTCGCTGTCGCTGTTCAGATTTATACAAAGAATGTGGCGATATTTCCTAGTACTCCTTCGATTAAAGCCAGCTAATTACGCAAGCATAGAGGAGCTGGCCTGGGGAGAAATTAAGCAGCCATACGGTGAATTTTTTTCGCGAACTCTCTATGGGTGCAGCTCTTTAGTAAGGAAAAGAAGAGGTCTTCATTCAGGTTCGGAAGTTCTTGGTGGACCAGGCCCTCCAGCAGTGAGTTGGCCTGCCATCATGTTTTGGGTGGTTGCTTTGGGAGGTCCATGGCTCATCTATAAAGCCATTTCACAAATGGTTCGTACAGTTGAGGAACGTCGAAAATGGGCTACCGGGACTGGTGCCCACTACACTGCTCAGGTACGGTTTTTGCTAACTGAACGTGATTTCACTTAGGGTCATTGAGGAAGAAAAAATGACATCACTGGGTGCCGTTTGAGACGTCGGCGCTGTACTGCAAGCGGCGTTATACCCTTGTTCGCTGCGGATGCTAGGACTTGTCAGGTCAGGGGGGCGATGGGATTGGAGGAGGGTCAGCTTGTTTTCCGCCACCTATTGCCGCTTGTTCGCTTGAAAGATTGGTGGGGAACGAGTCACCAAACCCAGCCTCCCTTAACACGCCCCAGCATCAGCAGCGGATAAGACTGTACGTTCACAGCCTTTGCACCTGAACCTAATTGACTTCGCGTGGGAGTGTTGCAGATGTTGACTCAATCAGCTGGTAGATACCCTGGTTTGAGGGTGTCCCGTAATTGGTGTGTCCTAGTCGACACCCGTGGTGCACCACCTGATTCATTTGGGATGCGCCATACTTTTGGGCTTTCGTTTGGATTGCAGCTAAATGAGCAGCTACTGTGATGTAAAACGTTGTGGTACAATGACTTGCGTGGGTCATTCGGTGTACAAAGCAGTGATTCTGTCCTCCTATGCGGATCTGGTACTAAATGACCGTCCCCACAAGGTAGAATTCTTGCCTGTGTCTGGGCAGGACTCGACTCGGGATTCAATCCTCGGACTGTGCGCGTGCTAAGCTGGCCACGTGCCACTTCACCATTTCCTTCTTCATTTACCCGATATATATTTATTTATGTTCAGGCTCTGTATGACTTCCAAGCCTCGAATGATCAGGAACTTTCGTTCATGAACGGTGAACTGCTCCGAGTTGCTCCAAAAGAGGAGCAACCACGAGTTCGAGGATGGCTTCTGGCAAGGTGTGTTTTTTTTCGGTAATGACACCGCCAAACATCGTGCTTC